TGAGCGTGTCTTGGGTTGGGTGCGTGCCTTTGCTGGAAACATTTATTGGAGGTATAACTTCATTTTAAAATGCTAATGCTCTCTGGAGAAGGCCAAAACACTGGTGCAGGTAAAGGATACATCATCAAACCCCAGTTTTATTACTCCTTGGTTTGGAACGATGGCTTTGCTACTGTAATACCAATATTGCCACACTAGCAAACCTTAGTAATGCTTGTGTAGACTAGCTCTTACGGTTAATCTGGGGCAAAATCATTAATTTGGAAAGACGGCTCCTTTCAAAAAGGTGAGTGCTTCCTTCTTGGCTCCTGCAGTTTTGTTCCCGACACCCTGCTACAGCTGTGTAAGTAGGTCAGCGAGCTGCGTTGCTTGCAGTGCGATGACGTGAGAGCAGGTAAAAGTTTTGTGTTGCAAAGCATCAAAACCAAGCGTCTGTCTTTTGTTTCCCAGATTTTTCAATTGTTGTTCACTGTAAATATCATAAACCTGCTTGAGGTGAATGTGGTTTAGAGCGTTCTCACTTACAAAGGTGCAGTCTTTGCAGGCAGATGTTTTCTTTACCTGTTTAGATACCGGTATACCAGTACTCTAAGGATTAAAGCATTCCAAGAGTTATACTGTATTTCTACAATGGTGACACAAGTTGTGAAGAGAAAAACATGGGTTATCTTTTCATAATAGTTCACAAATAAAGCAGAGGTTTTAAAGATAAAAGTATTCCCACAGAATTCTGTCTGACTCAGGAAAGCAAGCTTTATCGGTGGCGGGTGAATTGCTTGGTTTGGGTTTCACTTTGTTGTTTTGTTTGTTTGGGTTTAAAATCCCTCTGCTGTCAACTGTAAAAGGTAGGAAAAAGAAGTTTTCAGACACATGGACTGTTTCTCAATATACTTCACGTGTATCTTAACCATCCCGTGACCGTGCTCTCGCATGGACTTGGCTGTATGGTTGGAAGTATGACCATGTGGTTTTCTTTGTTTTGCTCTTTTAAACTGAGAGGTAAGTTGGAAGATCCGTCTTAATTTTAACAAGAACCGTGGACAGTCTTAGATTTTCTGTTGGGTTTTTCTTAATTACTTGTACCTGGTTTATGCTGTTAGATATGAATTGTGACTCCTAGCAATATCAACATTTGTTCTTAAGCCTTTTTTTTCATTTTAACGATCCACCTTGCTCATATCGTTGCTTATTTAGACGGAAAAGGTATTGGAATTTTTTTCCTCATTCTGCCTTATTTAGTGTCATTTGAGCTGACTCATGAAGATTGTATTCCTCAAGTGATGTGGAAGAGTGGGTTCTAAATTTGTCACACAGACACACAACGTAAAAACACAACATAAACCCAGTTGTTGTTATGCTGCTTGCTCAGGGTGTAGTATGTGGCCAAGCAGTTTTCTTGATCAGGAACAAGAAGTTGGGGTGAATGTTATGCATTTACAGAACACTATTTATGTTACTGGAAGCAATTTCAACTTATACTGATCTTAATTAAAAAAAATTGAAAACTTCCTTTTAGAACACGTATGCAGTCAAGCTGCTCAACATTAAATTACCTAAGAAAACAGGCTGAAGTTGCCTTGTTTTGTTTCCCCCAGCTCTGTACACGTCTCAGCTGTGCTCTGCTCCCAGCTAATGGGTTTTCTGGTTGGCTTTGGGGGTTTTATTTCTTTCTAAATCTTGCTGCTCTGGTCTTTCATCTGAATTAAGGAAGATTGAGGCAGCCTTTTCTGCTATGGCTTGGCAACTTAAGAGTGCTTTTAAAGTAATTAGAAATGTTGTCCGGAGCAGGGAGCTCTCATATGTGTGTGTTAGACACAGCCATGCTGCAGCTGGGCACACCTCTGCATCTGGGATGCTGGCGGCCGCTTCCACCTTTCTGCCACACAAATCATAGGCTCAATAAATCACTGTGAGGAAGAGCATGGTGGTAAGAAAACATCCTCCTTCCTGGGATACCGACAGATTGGAAAACCTCCGCTTAAGCATAGCTAGAAGCGTTTCTTCTAAAGTGAAATTTGATAGAGGACCAGGGTTAAGTGTTTCACAACGTGCCATCTGCTCTCTCTGAACTGGGAACAAACTTGTTTGGAAACCTTCTCGTTCTGTTGCATGTGTTGTGACAAGGGTGCCCAGGCCTCAGTTTGCTGGCGAGGTGTGGGTGCAGGTAACAGCCGATGGTGGGTGATGCAAGAGGAGGCATGGCTCCTTGCCCTCCGCTTACATACCTCTTACTTTTTTTTTTTCCTCCTTCAGCTTGCTTTCCACATTAGACTCACCATTGTTTATCTTAAACTTTTCCAGCCCAAAACTGCGTTGTAATATGTCTTTGCATGATTTTTTTTTTTTTTTTTTCCTCCCGTCTTCCCAACGGCCAGTAGCTGTCCTGCAGTATTCGGCGTGAGCAACAAGCAGTACCTCTGGCTGCCGTTTGGGAATGCTTCTCGTGTCACGGCATAGAAATCTCTGTATCAAAACAAATAACCTAGTAGTTTATTAACTTAACAAATTAAAGTTGTGTGACAGATGGGTAACTACTGCTTCTCAGAACAGATGACAGGAAGAAAGCGTACTCTGGGGTGCATTTGCATAAGGTGAATATTTGCCCACATATGAGTATCTACGACTTTTGAAATCAATCAGTTTATTCTCAAGGTTGTCTTTCTGCACTGAGCTCGTGTTTTGGGCTTGCATCAGTGGCTGGTTTGTTTCTTTTCAGGTTAATGACTGTTGATGCCCAAAAAAATACCCAGTAATTAGGACATCTAGCCTGATAAGACCCAAAAACTCGGGACAACACCTTGTTACTAGGAGGCGTCAGGGTAAAGTCCACGCAAGAGGTGGTTTAGCTTGGGTGTGTACAGGTGATGCCAAGATGAAAGTTAGTGATACGTAGCACTAGTCCTTTCCCTAATCTCTCCATTAGTGCTGGCATGAAACGTGTTTATTACGTGCCTTGCATCTGATTTAAGCCCCACAACGTGTCGGACTACCCAGGTTCTGTGTGGAGATCGCTGTGTGTTTGACCATGCCAACTACTCATAGGTACCCGATACGTGTGAAATATTGATACTGTCTCTCTTTTCTGGTGAAGGAAGCCAGATGCTGCAAACCTTGATACGTTTTATGTTAAATTAAAAGAAAACACAGTTTCACCCCAAGAAACAAGATGCAGCTTTCATTACAAACCCAGAAACCTGAGCGTAGTCAGCATACTTAAAATTGAGGTAGTTTGGATAGGCTTGAAAATGTGTGCAAAGAAGCCTTGATGCCGGGTTAGAGCTGGAAACGCATGTTACTCTGTGTGTATGTGCTCTTTCGTTCATTTGGAGTTGTAGGCATGAGAAATGCACGTTCCACGCGGGCGAGGGTGGCGGCGCGAGTTGAGATCCACGTTGTCTGGGATTGCTTGAGCTGTGTATTTGGTTTAGAAGTTTTCAGCTGACAGGTTGCAAATCAACATCTGCTATTGCAGCACGTGCTTTATCGGAAGTCATGTAGGCTGTTTAGGAAACAAGCTTGATTTTTCTAACCTCCTTTCAAGTGTTAGGAAATAAAAAATTTCCTCATCCATGTTATGTTGTTATTATTTGTATTATAACTTGTGCTAAGTGCTGTACAAACACAGAGTGAAGCAGCTTAGCTTCAGACCTCACACAGTCGTGCGTATGCATCCGAGTAGCAGTATCTCCCAGAGCCTTCTGCTTGCTGGCAGAAAAGCGATGTGAAAAGATGACCGCAAATATGATTAACATCCTTATTCACGCTTAAAAATAGCTCCTTATAGACTAGGATTTTATTTGATGTGAGTTAATCTCATCTTGTGAGAAACTAGTGAGTAAGTGAAACAGAATCTGCCCTTAGTTAAGTCCTATATATGTTTTTACTTACTGTGAGTGTGGGTAGTGGAAGACTGCAATAAACTGGACGCTTTCAGCTTAGCAAAGCCACAGCTTTTCACATTGAGAAACTAATTCTATCTAAGAATATATTGAAATTAATATTAAAATGTTTTTAAAGGCTTTTATTTAAATGTGCCGTGATCTAGATCCTGTATATATACACACAGAGAGAGGCAGTGGGACAAGTTTTCTGGTATTCTTAGTTGCCTAAAGCATGGAAAGAAAGATGTTCAAAATGATATTTTATTATCATGTGGCTGTTTTCATTAGTCCGGTGGACACTGTTCCCTTTTGAACACTTAAAAGTTGTCTTTCCTGGAAAAAGTGTTTGTACTAACAGATGATGGAAACCAAAGCTGTCTGCTGTTTTGTTATTATTAGTATTATTTTCTCATCTTTTTTTCCCAGTCCCCCTCTGTTCTGTTCAAAGGCACATCAGACTGTTCCTGGTATTTTTAAAGAAATTGCTCATAAGTGAAGCATCCACTGATGCAGACGAATATTTAAAGCTTGGCTGAGCAGCACATGGGCCATTTCCTACAACTGTGAGTGCGCAGTTTGGTTACAGCCGGGCATAGCATTAGGCTGATAACATCATAAGCTACACAAAATGGTAATACACCCAAATATTTGTGCTGCCAGCGTATATTCTGATCACATCAGCTCACTGGAATTATTTTTTTTTGTCTTAGTAAAGCGTTTTTGTTTTGCTGGGTTTTTTCCTTCCCCCTTTAATCTAAGAAAATTCTTGTGTTTCATCTGTCAGCAGAGCTGCTGTTCTGTTTGAAGTTCTAAGTGAAGTTTTCTGAATGCTTGTGATGAATGAGCTGGGAAAAAATTACTTTGGTTCTTTGATGCCATGGGTAGTTTGCAAGGCTAACGTATTTGTTCAGTGTGGAAATGTGATGGGCAATATTAGAGACCATATATCCATCCTTTTCATGCTACTTCAAGAGAGACAATTTTCACGTCCTATTGTAAAGTTTTAATATCTCTGTTGCAGCTCAAGTAATCCATAGTTAGCATTTGTTTCTTCAGAAAACTGAGAGCGAGCGATGAACAGGTTGTGAAGTTTTCTTTTTTTCTTTTCTCCTCTCTTAGAACAAAATTGAATTATAATCCTCCAAAGGATGATGGCTCAACATACAAGATTGAACTTGAAGGGATATCTGTTGATATCATGAAAGAGATTCTAGATTACATCTTCAGTGGGCAGGTACGGTATTAAAAAAAAAAAAAGACGGGAATTCAACTATTTGGCAAAATAACCTGGGTTTTAACACTGCTATCCTGAAAGATAAACCTATTAAGGTTTAAAGCTTTGTGATAAAACTTCTGCCAAGTGATATATCCCACTGGGGCTGTGCATGTGAAGTAGAGGCAATAGGCTCTGCAGGAGTTGGCTCAGCTCTTCTCATGCGGTGGGGGAGGACTCTAAAAGAGTCAATGTCAAATGCGTGTATTAAAATTTGTGGCTCCCTTCAGTAAACCCCTTTAAAGCATTCAGTCTTTAACAGCTGTAAAAGAGAACTGGTTTGATAGCAGTAGGATTGAGACCCCCATCACTGAACATTACAGCACATCAGGCATCCTCCCTTACTGACCCTCATGCCCACCTCTCCGGCCTCTCGTGTCTGACAGCCTGCCCCTTCAGATCTTTGTGCCGGTAGCCTTAGCAGGAATTAAAGTTGGTGTCTGGTTTATTCGGAAGTGGATTGAGACTGCTGAGTGAGTTTAACTTTCAGCAGAAAAAGATGTGTCTTGAAATTCTCTTCTGTGCGTACATTTTAAAAAAATATTTATTCATTGCAGCAAAACTCATTTTAGGTTCCCAGATGAGAGGAGCAATTTTTTGGTTACTTCAGGTGCAAAATTCTGCTTGACACCTTCTGTCAAGCAAATGCCTTTCCATCCCTGTGTTAATTTATAAACGTGTAGTAGTCATATCAATTTCCCTAAGTTTTACACTGGCATTAATACTCCATTTTTCAGCCACTAAGAATGAGTGTAATGAATGCGGACATGTCATGAAACAAATGAGTGATAGTAGCTATAACTTCTAAATTAATTCTTGCAGATCAGGCTAAATGAAGAAACTATCCAAGATGTGGTACAGGCAGCTGATCTCCTGCTGCTTACAGACTTAAAAACTCTCTGCTGTGAGTTTTTAGAAGGTTGCATAGCTGCTGAGAACTGTATTGGTATTCGGGACTTTGCACTGCACTATTGTTTGCATCATGTTCACTACCTTGCCTCAGAGTATCTGGAAACTCACTTTCGAGATGTCAGCAGCACAGAGGAATTCTTGGAACTGACTCCTCAAAAACTGAAAGAAGTGCTGTCGATGGAAAAGCTCAATGTTGGAAACGAAAGATACGTCTTTGAAGCAGTGATTAGGTGGATTTCTCATGATTCAGAATCAAGAAAGGTCAGGACATCCAAATGTTTATATTTTGAACGTGGCCCAAATCGGCATGTTTATTCTAATAGGTTGGAACTTAAATAGATACGTTTGTCTCAGGGCTAATCTTGCACTTAGAGAATTAGTTTCAGAACTTTGCCTGAAACGCAGACAGTGGGATTGCAGTAAAAGGGTGAAAGCTGCGTTGATGATGTATCATCTGTTGTCTTTATTGTTCAATAGGCATTAAGAAAAAAAAATACATTTTTGGCATGTGATGATGGTATAATATTGTTTTTGTAGAGAGGTAGCATGTTTGTAGTAAAACTTTGAAGACTTCGTGCATTTTCTTAATAACATTGTGTTGTAGATTTTATTATCACTTCCAAATATCAAAAATACTCTTTAAGTTTTTCATAAATATGGAAGCATTTGTATGTACAAGTGCCTTGATGCTGTTCTATAAAGTCTGGGGGATTTTCTGGCATGTATCTCTTTCTGTAGGTTCACATGAAGGACGTCATGTCAGCAGTGTGGGTTTCGGGCCTGGATGCAGCGTATTTACGTGAGCAGATGATGAGTGAACCACTGGTACGGGAGATCGTCAAAGAATGCAACAATATTCCCCTCACGCCGCCCCAGCAGGGAGAGGCGATGCTGGCCTCCTTCAAGCCCCGGGGTTACTCGGAGTGTATAGTGACTGTTGGTGGAGAAGAACGGGTGTAAGTATGAAGTCACATCGCAGGTCATCACAGCTGGTAAAAATACAAGTGTCTAGCATTCATGGCACGTCTGAAAACACAGTGTGGAGAGAGTATGTGCACCCAGTGGGCTTATTACTCGATCATTTGAGTTTGTTTTTAAGTTGGTTAGACACACCTAAAATACCTTCGTGAATGATTCAGCAGTAAATAGTTATTTTGTGATCATTTTCTGACATTCAACATGTAGTAGACTTAAAGTAGGATATGTTGTTTGTCCTGTAAATGTTGGCTGTTTGTGGGGTGTTTTAGATTGAATAGGCTTTACTCAAAATAAGCACAGAATGTTGGAGAATCACTTTTCTAATGAGCTGAAAAGCATCTATAATAAATCTTAAAAATAATGAACGTGTGTGCTTTACCTGTTTTGTTTATAATAGCTGTGGTTCCAAAAAAAAGGTCATTATTGGTGCATCTGAGATGCTAAGTGAAAATTCCTGTTCCATACAATAATCCCTTTCTTTTCTTGAGTACTCCCTGCAGTAAAGGGGTGGGTTTTGACCTGTTTAAATAAGTTTAGTACTTAGATGTTTGCTCTTTATAGAAGTGTACTAAAATACTCAAAAAATTCTTTGCACATCAGTACATTACTAATACTCCCTGTCAGTTCTTTTTAGTTTGTTCAAAGCTCCTTTGTAAAAATTGTTACAGGCAGATACAGTACGAATGAAGTGCATCTGCTTTTTATGACTCCAGTCTGTACAAAACTTAGTTTACCCACATTTGGGTTGGGGGTCTTCTCCTTACCAGGGACGTGCCACGCTTTATGAATGTATATTAAAACATGAACAAGCAAGCTTTGGACACAAGTTGTTAACAGTGAACTCGTAAAACTCTGTCTTGTCTTTCTGTTTTTGTTTGTTCCCTCCCCACCCTGTGTTCAGATCACGGAAACCAACCTCAGTGATGCGGTGTATGTGTCCTCTTTATGACCCCAATAGACAGCTCTGGATTGAACTTGCTCCTATGAGTATTCCAAGGATCAATCATGGAGTATTGTCAGCAGGTAAAGGGGAACTTTGTATTTGTAAAGTCAATATTATAAAAACTTACCAGTGCCTCAAAATCTGAGAAACAGCTTATGATAATATTTTTTTCTTTAAGATTGACTGCACTGGGGTTATTTCATGCTTCCCCTTTGTCTGCCCAGAACATTACTTGATTCTGTGAAAATCCCTGTCATCTGAGTGTCTTAAAATCACTATTCCCGCAACATTTTGTGGGAATCTGCTACGTCTGTCTCTCCAGGAGTATTTTATGTTTTGAGTAAATCCTAGTTGCTGCATCACTGAATACGTTGAAGAGTATCTGCAGGGGTAGACTTGAGTCCGGGTATAAATATGTGCTTTTTACCTTCTCCAGTCCAGAGTTTGACCTGTGACTGGTCGGAATCTCTTAGTGAATTCCAGGATACAGCTCACCAGTCACGTTGTCTTGCTTGGTGTACAGATGTGAGTCCTGTTTTTAAGATCACGTTACATTTTCTTTTACAGAAGGATTTTTATTTGTGCTTGGTGGTCAGGATGAAAACAAGGGAACACTAAGCTCTGGAGAGAAGTATGATCCAGATACCAATTCGTGGAGTTCCTTACCACCAATGAATGAGGCAAGATCACTATCTAACTCTTGGGATTTAAGTTTTTACTTTGGCAAAATGTTCCTTTTCTTCTGCAAAATTTTATTCTGAATCTCCAGTCACTTGCATCTTACACATTCAAAATCACGCTACAGACTGACTTTTGTTTACATCCCGTTGTTATACTTGTGGTCTGATACTGACTGCTGGATCTGGAAAAACAAAGCAATTAGTGAAGAGCTAGCTGTAAAGATGAACTACAAAATTTCAGGAATTTCATAATGAACCGGTCATGTAATATACTTCATGGTCTGCATATACTGGCCTTCTAAAACAAGACAACTCTTAAATGGACAAAGGGATCGGAATGTGCAGAAAGGATGGACAGAGAACTGGCCAACGTACAGAACTTGACTTGTACAGACGCTTATTTAGGTTTGGTTTGAGTTAATGCTTCCTTCTTTGTATTTGCATTCCATCAAAAAGTAACAGTTTATTATTTGTAAACGTGTGTCCTTTAACACACCTGTGTTTTTATCTTCTTAAATCAGCGTAGGGTGTTTATTAAGAAATTGTTGCTTGCCACAGGATTTTCCTCATTACAGTCTCTGGTTGGCAAAAGCCTGTTGTTTTGGCCACATTTGTAGTTACGATGCATTAAGTTTCCCACTTGCTATGAATAAGGCTTTACGATACATTATGTTTCCTGTTTACTGTGAGACTGAGGGTAGCTGTGCCCCTACATACAAAACAGAAGAGCTGCCTTTTCACAGATAACGGGTCCAAGTTTTGCTGCTATAGAGACCTGAAAGCAGCAGCTTCATTGTGGAGGCCGCCACTATGCAAACTGAAATGTGGCCAAGCTCTGTCCTTAGATTTCTGTGCGGTCTCTTTGGCTTTTGCTGCTCTCTCTTTTTTGCATACCCTTTGTTTTGTTTAGTTGAATTAATTAATAATCTTATTCTGGAGTTTAGGACTTCACCATTTAAAAAAACAAACAAACAAAAAAACCCCCAAAACCCAGGCCTAATACCAGTATCACTTTCTAGACAGATACGCTGAAAAAAAGATTGTCTTGATGTATTCACAATGGCAGTTATGTTTTACAATGTTGACTTCACTGATATTCCTTAGGCACGGCATAATTTTGGTGTGGTAGAAATTGATGGAATTCTGTATATTCTGGGAGGTGAGGACGGTGAAAGGGAGCTAATCTCTATGGAGAGCTATGATATTTATAGCCGGACCTGGACCAAGCAGCCAGACTTGACCATGGTTAGAAAGGTAAGAACTATGTCATATGCTATCACGTTACTTATTGTTAAACAGTTAATGCCAACTTATATATATTTTTCACTTTTTTGCTTCAAGTAGAAGCTGTAACAAGTAGTCTCAAAACAAAATGAGGGGGAGTAGCCTCTGTATTTATATACCAAAACGAAACCGTGGCTGAGAATTTTTATGCACAGCATTGTTTGACATATGTTACAGGCAACCCAAATGCATACAAGTGTGTATGTAGTTAGTTTTGAGGTCTTGATACTGTGCATTTGTGTGTGATTTTTAGATGTACTTTTTCTTTTTCCTATAAGATTGGCTGCTATGCAGCTATGAAGAAGAAAATCTATGCAATGGGTGGAGGCTCCTACGGAAAACTCTTTGAGTCTGTTGAATGTTATGACCCCAGGACTCAGCAGTGGACAGCAATCTGTCCTCTGAAAGAGAGAAGGTGAGTGAGAACAGAAGAGGGGAACTAGATTGCTGTGTACAACCTTTTTTAACACTGATGAGAGGAAGTTGTCCTTTCTCGGATGAATCCCTGAAGATGGCTGCAAGAGGCCCTGTGGATTACACCATGTCTTTCTGAATCATGGTGGCCTGTAGTTAACATGTGGCTGAGTTAGGCATCCAAGCAATGAATATGAATCTTGTAGAAGTACACTCCTGATGTTACAATTAATACTACCCTGATGCAAAATGAAAACCAGAAATTATAGTTCAATTGGAACTTCAGATTTTGACCAGAGATAATTACTTCGCTGTTTTGTTCTTTTATGTGGTCTGAATGAAGTGCTTACAATTCATATTCATGACTCATTTAATCTTGTTGATCATATAATGGGTGGGTGTGTGTATAAATAAAAAAAAAAGTAAAAAAATAAGGAGAAAGTTCAGAAGGATATACGAAATGATTGTGATATGTTGCTTTTTTTTTTTTTTTTTTTTCCTTGTTTGGATTCTCAGATTTGGGGCAGTGGCCTGCGGAGTTGCCTCTGAGCTTTATGTATTTGGCGGGGTCAGGAGTCGTGATGACAGTCAAGCCAGTGAGATGGTGACGTGCAAATCTGAATTTTATCATGATGAGTTTAAGAGGTAACTAGCTGTAGCTATAAACATAGAAAATACGTGCCTTACACACTCACCTGTCTGTTCCCCGTTCCCTTGCTCCAGCATTTCAAAGCATATTAGACCTTTGCCATGCGTCTCTGTTACTCATTTTACGTTTTACAATCCAGTGTGGCTGTTGCCAGATGTCCATCTGCTTCAGCGGTTTGTCCCTCTAAAATACCAAGCCTAAAGCCCTGGGCCACCGTGTCTGTCTTGAGTGCCCCTGAAGAGGAGAAACACCTTAGTCAGTTTGCCTGGCTGTTCCCCTGCACTCTGCGCTTTCCGCAGGTGCAAGGTGCTGCTGCCTCCCACCTGTACTCATGCCCCAGGCTCCTCGTGAGTGCTCATAGAGGAGTGTAAGTGTCTACAGGCATACTGCTCCACGATCCAGTCCTATCTCCAGAGATTTGCAGCTTAGGGAACTGTTAAGCTGACATGACAAGAAATGTCATGCATTTTTGTTCCAAGATTTTATAGCTGATTGCTTTTTGAACCCGTGTGGGCTTTTGCCATAGGAAAGACACTATGGATGCTATACATTCCACATTCACCTTGACACACTGTGCATGGCTAATCTACTTTTGTTTGTTTTGAATCTGATTCTGATACCTTAATTTGTTATCTCTTGGTTTTGGTATTGGAATCCACCTTACTACGTGTGGTAACTAATCAAAATGTTACATTACACAGGGTTTTGTGTATAGTCAGCTTACTCTCCAGTCATAACCAACAAGCTTTGGTTTCTTCAATGTTTTTTGGGAGTTTTTTGCACATAATTAAAAATTAGATCTTTTGTTTGTTTGTTTTTTGTTTTTTTTTTTTACAAACTAAATTGAAATAACGCTTTGTGGTCAGATGTTTCAAGACTTGTTGACAGTGGAGGAGATTAATACATCTTTATTACAAGTTAAGACTGATTTATGATGTGACCTGTGTAAAAGCACACATAAATAGAACAGTAGATGTAAGTTCATTATACAATTTTCTTGCAAGGTGTAGATGTAAAGAGACTTTAACTTCTGTATGAAGAGGTCTTCTGTGTTGTTCAAAGTGATGTCCAAACTAGCTATGAATGAAGCTGGAGAAAAAACACTGTTTAAAGTGGTTACAGAAAGCAGACAGATGAAAAGGCTATTGTTGCTGATGCTCTCTAGCGTTTTCTAGACCATAATGGGGGTGTGGGGAAATGCTAAAAGCTGATTAACTTTTTGGCAAGAGGTCTTTGAAAGGAAAGAATTCTGGAAAGAAGTGCTCCCCTATCTCCTTCTTGCTATTTTTAGTTGATTTTCCTGAAATATTTCCAAGCTGATTCTGTTCTTCAAAAGGTGGCATATGACCGCTCACGATTCCTCACCAGTGACTGTAAACCTGTTTTGCTAGTTGATACAGGCTGAGCTTTCAGAAAGTGGAGTTTGAAAAATCTCAGAGGTTCCAGCCAGGTGCTGCAGGTGAGCCCTTGGTGCCACCTGCTGACTGCAGCACAGACACCTGCCCAGCCGTGTTTCTAGTGCGTGTGTTTGTGTCTCTGCTTGGTGGCATCCCAGAGGTGTTACCACAATTCAAGTCAAATTCTAGTAAAAACCCAGTTGCTTCAGGTCTTGTTCTAGCACCCCATATGTTGTGCGTGTGGCACGAGGGCTGTGCTGGCACAGAGGAAGGTGAGGCAGCAGCAAGTAATGGGAGTCTTGAGTTGCTGGAGGAGGCACGCGTTGAGGGCTGCTGAGATATTAAGGGCCTTTGTGCTCTGCCACTGCACGGGATTTGAGCTTAGAAATTTAACCCGGCATAAGTTTGTGCTTGCACTGCAGGTGGTTCACAGGTTATGTGTTTTCCTTTGGAAACGGAGGGACAGTGAAGACCAGGATGATGGCCACTTCTGCTTCTGCTAGCTGGGGTCTGTGCCTCTGCTCTCTGTTTTGAAAGGCCCCCAGTTCCAAGCCAGGGAGGCACAAGGGGTGCTACTGGCCAGAAGAGGGTGCAGTGCTACTGCGTTATGGCCTAGCGCTCCAGTTTGGGAGGTCCACCCACCAGTGACCCTGAATTGCAGTACCCTCGGAGTGCTGTGCAGGATGGATGCCTTCCAGGGTGGCTGTGTCAGTGACTGTGAGACCGGAGCAGTCATACCTATGTGGAAAAGAGCGAGAACAGCCACAAAATGGACTTGCCTTCAAAATGCAAGTTAGGAAATATTTCTGCCTGCCAAATACAGAGACAAAATACTTTGTTGTCTGGTATTCTCTTTGAAGTAAGATTGAATCTGGAAAATTATCATAATTTCATTATAATAGCATTTCACAAATATCAAATGAATACCAAATGAAGGCAAGTTGACTCTCTGGAAAGCATGAGGGTATTGTTTCCTGGGCTGATTCAGAAATAGCAGAAAACGAATCTAAATCTCTTTCTTTTGAGTGAAGGATGAAGGCTTAAATAATTAGCTTCTCTTAATACTGATGTGTGTGCCTGATTAGTTAAGCAATTCCCCTTCCACTGGGTATCATATGCTCTGCTGTGCATCATCACTCAAGAGTATAGCATAAGTGATGCTATAGGTTTTACCACAGGTGGACAACCTCTCTCAGTTCCTTAGTGCATAGTCAGTGTGATATATACAAAGACTGATTCTTCGTCTTAAACATTACGCAGTTGCTACAAGGTGATTAATTTATAATTGAGAAGTGTGTTTATTTCCTCGCAATAGTTTCTGAAACAAATTAGGTAATTAGTTCCCTTCAAACCAGCAGCTTCAAGAAGTCATCGTGAAGGATATAAGCACCTTCAGACTCCACAGCGTGTATTCGTTTTGTAGTGACAGCGAAGGAATGATACTGGAGCTGTCAAATCTGAAATGGCACATTGGCAGCGTATGTGTATGTTATTGACAGAAGGTCAAAAGTGTTGGGTTTAGAGAGATTTGTGGAAGGGAGGAATGTGTTTGTAAGATCACTTAGCAGCAGATCATCAAAAGCACAGCATATAAATTCTAGCAGTCTCAAACCAAAATACATAGGTTTTTTTAATGGCTATGTACTGGTATTGCATGTTTCATAATGAGCTACAGGCTTTTCCAGCTGCCTTTAAGTAAGCGCAGAACTCAATCATGTTCACTTTCTTTTTGAATCTAAAGAATTTTTTGTACTTTGTCCAGCCATCAGATATTTTTGGTTTCCAGGTACGTGCAGCAATGCACACGTGTGGTCTGCATCATTTTTCATGTGCCTTGGCTCTCATTACCTGAGAGTACAGGATCTAGCATCATCCTAGGCATCCAGAGTCCATGAGGATATCAGTTATGGGTTTTACTTAGTGTATATGTCTAAGTATGTACTTATATCAGTATATAAACATATTAATTCATGTAAACTGGTGTAATTCTGGCTTGAATTGGATTAAAGGACTGAAGTTTAACTTGCTTAATATTGCTTACTTTGACAGTAACTTACTCTAGGATAACGCACGGTGCAGTATCTTTCCAAATTGTTATTCTTAACCATGATGCAGACTCTTCTAAAGACTAGGAATATGCTGGGATCTTCACACTAGCAAAAAAATAAACATTGAGACTCCTGTTAAGCTATACTGTATAAACTAATAATAAAATAAATGAAGTGAGACAGAATAGTAGCATACACGTGAAATGTGGACAGAGTAATGTAGAAAATAATTCTCATATTTGAAGTACTTCTGGAACTGAGATTCTTCAATTAATAAATGTTTTGGCAGCCTGTCTTTAGTCATGTGCATGAGTGGAATTTAAGTGAACCAAAGATAGAAAACACGTACGTCAGACTGCAGGTTTTTTCAGGATGTAGATTTTTTTTTCTCCCCAAAGGCTATAGATTGAGCTTTGTGTGCATTATATCCAGTTTTTTAAAATATTGAGCAAGCTAAAAATAGATTTAAAAAATGTGAAAGTGGGAGATGGAGATGTGAGGGTATCCTTCGCTCAATGATCCGGTGTTGGTCTACTCCGTAAAAGCAGGAAATCTTAACTAAATATTAAGGACCTTGATGGGTCAGTCTTTCATTCTGCCAGAGTTCATAATTTATAATGTGCCTTCTTGCATCACGTAGGGGTGTGGGCAATGGGATGATGTCTGTACACACTGTGGGTTGTTTTTTTTTCTTTTCAGTGTGCCTATTTGAAAGTATTTAATAGAGCACAAATTGGCTTTAGGGTTCTTTGCAAGAGCTGCTGGTGGAGCTCTGCCCTTGAGCATAGCTACTGCTGCCTTGCCCTGGTGGTCTGTACGTGGGGTAGGCTTTCCTCCTCTTCACGAGCTCCTGCTTCAAAAGCATTACCAAAATTTGCAGGTATTGAGGGGGATAAAAGTGACAGGTACTTGTTCAGAAGCAATGCTTGGTTAAAAACTCCTTAAAAATATTCTTTTTGCTGCTAGAACATTGTAAAAACAAGGAAATGCTTTCAGCAGTATGTAAGTAGTAAACTAAATAATTTTGTAACATAGGATGTGTAATTAGGAAGATTCTCCCATTCAGTGTGCAGGAATTTCATTAAAAGAAAGTGCTTATGCAAATGTAATGAGAAAAGTAACTGGCTGACTGATAGCGCTGTCAGATGAGAGGAACACGGAGAAGATCTTCATTGGCTTGTAGGCATCTTTTCACGTCTGGTGTGAGCTTGAGGTGACGTGTCTGGAATATGTTGGTTCTGTATCAAATCTCTATTTACTTCCCCCTTGGAAATAAAACAGCTCCCATCCTGCTTATTAATTGCAGCAGTATGGATGGATTTTTTTTGTTTATATCACTTTAAGACTGAAAAAAAATCAGGATTCCTTCCCCCTTTATTTTTTTTTTTTTTTTTAATGTGAGTGGAAGCATAGCTCAGTTTCAGAGCAGTCCTTTCTGTCTGTGGTTAGAGGTACATGCCTTCTCCCCTGCTCCTCGGATTTGCTTTGAGTAGAGCCATCCCAGGGAAGTACGCAAGAGTTATGTTCCAAGGAGTGTTTTTAAATTCCTGAAGATTATGAATTTTTTGTCATGGTGTTTTTTCCATACTGTTCAAACAGCAGGCACAACCCACATTAAGCTGGAGCTTAGTCAAATTCTGATGAAACGTGACCCCTTGCCCTTCCTGTCTTTGTTCCTTCCTAGTCTTAACCGCTAAAGCTGCTGTAAGCGTTCCTGAAAAGTTGTGCCTGTTTTTTAAAGTATATGCCTTGAGAAAGGTTGAGAATGAATTTTCACAAGCAACTACAGATACTTTAATATTGTCCTATCCTGCTGTGCAGTAGGAAAATGTTTGGGTCCCACAGTGTTGTGGGTTTTTTATTTAAACCCCGAAAGCTTGAATATCTAGTGCAGACAAACCCCTGAAGTTCATGTGTTTTCCAAGCTCAAACTTGATCAGTAGCTGGAATGGATTCATCTAACTTTGGGGTTTTTTTTCCCGTCTTTAACATCATCCTATATTTACTACTTAAAAAAAAAAAAAGGAATTGCAGTCTTCCTCCGGCATTTCTCTGCCGCTTACTCAATTTCCCTAGGTAACTTGGTGCTAAAAAGCAGTAAATGACTGTGTCCTCTTCCCACAGTAAGGAAGGGAAGCTAATGTAACATGGTGAAAGGTATTTTGCTCTGTAACAGAGTTTCTGAATCAGTGTAAAGAACTTCTCCTTTTTCTGTGTTCTTAGTTTGTCCGTCGTCCTCTCTGACAGCTACAAACCATTCCCTTGCTCTCTGCAGAATCTTAATCCTTCAGTGTATAACACAGACAAAATAATGGACAGCTAATCCTTTCATGTGGCCTTTAAAAATCGATCTCTCTCTCCAAGATAATTGATACGTAGCAGCCTCTCCTTCAGTGCCAGAAGAGAGGCTTCTGAATCATGAGTTAAGATAATGCAGAATTTTCAAAGGTCAGCAGTATCCATGAGGATATTTCCTTACTTTTTCCCTCAAATTAACAAGGTATGGCCATGAAAATATATGGGATGCTTTTCAAACTTTCCTGTTCTCTGCGAATTATTTAATAACCGATCTAGGAGCAGTCACCTAAAATAGCATTGATTTATATGTCTTCAGGGTCTGTAAATAGCAGCTGTGGCAGCATCGGCAAAATTGCAGCAGCATTTTGTAGAAAGTTGTTGCAGAACCATGGAGAGGTTGCTGACAGCTCTAGGTAAACGGGACATCTTTGTAAACCGGTGTCCCACGTGGGTGATGAGTACCTGCTTACCTGGTTTCCAAAGGCTTTCAACGTGGAAAACTGCTTTTCACTTGGTGGAAGCCGGTGTCCCACGTGGGTGATGAGTACCTGGTTTCCAAAGGCTTCAACGTGGAAAACTGCTTTTCACTTGGTGGAAAGATCAGGCTGATGTAGTGTTGAAATGAGAATATGCTTAAAGCGAACATAGGGGACTTGTAAGATTACAGTAGGAGCTAGAAAGTGATTGAAAAGAGCCTGATATGTGATTGGGAAGGTCTGCTTCAGTTCCAGGTCATGGACATTTCTTTCCCAAAATCCCTTACTGTTTTGACTTCCAGTCTTCTGTCCACTGATTAGTTAAGCATCGCCAAGTGCTGCATTCTTTTTACTGGACTGGGGGTTTCTTGTTGCCGATAAAGTGCAATTGAAGAAGTTAGGGCATTATATGGGAGAATGCACTGCTTCATAACGAGGTCTTGCCATATAGCAATTTGTTATTTCCCCTGGTATGGACTGTTAAGACTTATGCTTTTATGACTCAACTGATTTTTGAGACAAAGCTGCCTGAAATTTTCTCTATAGGGAAAATTGACTGGCATAGCTGTTGTAGAAGAGACTCTCTTATGTGTCTGCTCTCTTCCAGAAGGTCACACTGGGTGGCTGCAAGAAGAATTTATTCCAGATAGGTTACACAGATGAGTGGAGTAATTCTGAGATAAAAGTAACTTCAGGATAAAGTATCCTGAGCTTCCCAAACAGCAGGACCAATTGCTTTTCCTGGCTAGGAAAACCCAAGGCTGTCCTGGACTAGGCAATGTTCCCAGCAGTTTTTACATAACAAATTAACTTGTACACTCTGCTTTTGATTCCAAGATGGCAGTTGCAAAAAGAACATGGATTTCTTCTGAAGTGCTTAATAAAAATTGCATACCAGGTTTTTTATTGTTCTTCTTACAGGTGGATTTATCTAAATGACCAGAGCCTATGTATCCCAACTAGTTCTTCCTTCGTGTATGGAGCTGTGCCCATTGGAGCCAGCATATATGTGATTGGAGATCTCGATACAGGTCAGAGTTAGAACTAACAACCTCCTGTTGCTTGTCTTCTTCCAGTCGCTTAAATACGCGGCACTAATGAGCCTGAACTTTTTTTAGCACGAAAGGCTGGGTTTACATTCTGTTAAGTTACTGCTGTCTTCAGGGGAATTAATGCTGGACATACAGAAATGTACCGGTTGGTTTTGTACTTTGGAGCTCTTCAGAAACAAACTCAGTGCTGTAAGTGCTTGGTTGATTAGCAGCTTGAAGATCAGAAGAGATCAAGACTAGGTGTGTGTTACTGCATTTGTCTAAATATAAGAAAAAAATGTTAGTGCCTGAGGTTGTTTCTCCCATCGTTGCAGCGGTAAGCAGGTGGTTCTGCATTTTGGGGACATCATCCAGTGGTTCGTATGGATGTGATAGTGATTCTTGGCTCTAACACCAACCGAGTAAATGTGTACTAACAAACAGATTCAATACTCAGCTTTCAGCATCTGGCTGCATACTGTTACAAAACAAAAAAAACATTTGGAAGGCTACATGCTTTCATGGCCATCTGTACATATATGAGTGTGTAACAGGGCTTTCTACAAAATATGAAAAAGCAAAATTCCCAATGTGGTGGGTTTAAGTAGATAGGAAAAGCCATAGTAGTTTCCTTTGGGCAATAATTTCAGCCATCTAGCCAGAAATTGGTTTGTGTTTCTGTGTGTGCTCTTGTTCATGTATTTTCTGAATGTGGCGATAGCTGTGGGAGGTTTTAACAGGTCTGGTTTTGTTTTTTTTTTTTTTTGTTTTTTTTTTTGTGCTAAACCTAAGTAAAACAAAAATTATGACTATGTTAGAGAATTTAAAAGAAGCACGGGGACCTGGCAGCGCACTAAACCACTATTTCCATCGGACCTTCGCCGTACTGGCTGCGCAGCTTTGCGGATCGCAAACTGCAAGCTCTTTCGACTGCAGCTTCAACAAGGATTATTCCGCATTCGCGTACCTTCTCCGTGATCCCTATGCTGACAGTGGAGGAGACTGGAAGAATTCTGCACAGTCCACCATAATATAGCTCTATATAAAGGAAAAGCTGAGAAATTACAGCTGAAACTTACACTGTATGCTGTGCTTTGGTATGGTAACTGTTTTTGTTTTAAATGCTTAAAAAGCTTGAGTCTCAGTTCTTGTTTCGGGAACAAATAACTTAAGTATACATTAAAAAGAAGAGGGGGGGGGAGATAAAAGGGGGGGATCAAGGAAACACCTTCAGTCGTAACTATTTGGAGTTTAAACCGTGTTATTGAAGGAGGTTTTTTGTGTCTGAAACCGGTGGGAATTGATATTCCATTGGCAAAGTTTATTGAAAAGCAAAAAAGATTTAAGATGCGTTTCCCCTGAGGGGAACTGATAAGAATGAAAAGCTGAGAAATTACAGCTGAAACTTACACTGTATGCTGTGCTTTGGTATGGTAACTGTTTTTGTTTTAAATGCTTAAAAAGCTTGAGTCTCAGTTCTTGTTTCGGGAACAAATAACTTAAGTATACATTAAAAAGAAGAGGGGGGGGAGATAAAAGGGGGGGATCAAGGAAACACCTTCAGTCGTAACTATTTGGAGTTTAAACCGTGTTATTGAAGGAGGTTTTTTGTGTCTGAAACCGGTGGGAATTGATATTCCATTGGCAAAGTTTATTGAAAAGCAAAAAAGATTTAAGATGCGTTTCCCCTGAGGGGAACTGATAAGAATAAATGTGCTATCTTGGACTGGATAGCTGTAATACACAGAAGCTATATGATAACCAACCTCCCTGGTATACTGCAAAGACTGTTGTTTGACTGTAGTGCCGTAGGAGATGTTGGTTGTTGCACCTTTTATTTCTACTCCTTCCTCAAAAGTTAAGGTCTGTGCCTAAAAATGGTGGAGGTGTGTACATAAGGTTTTTCATTCATTTGCAATGTTTTCATTCCTACAAATATTTTTAATATATTTAAAATGGACTAATCTGAAATGGATACAGTATACTACAGAGAAGTAAACCGGTTTTTTTTCTACGCTGTCATTTGAATAGCCTGATGAACTGGTGTACAGGTGGGCGGTGCGCATTTCTGCGTGGGCTTTGCTGGCTGTTTCCTTGAAGTAAAAAGGGAAATGGTGTTTGGAATGGTTAATGACGATTGCTGCTTTTGGTAAAAGATAACAAAACTTGACAATTAAAGAAAATGGGTTATGTTCCTTTTTCCTTCAGATAGCTTGCAAACTAAGAATGGTTTTTAAGACTGAGGACTGTAGAAAGGTGCATTTTATCTCTTAGAACAAAGGTGAAATATGACATATATTTGTTTTGCAGAAAGCATGATTTTTGGACTAAGAGCTAAGGAAAATTTGTACAGCGACTTTAAATTGGGATCAAAAGTTGGTTTACTAATGATTTCTGTGCTAAGGTACAGTCTTGTTTACTGCTGTCTCACTTTGAAAGCTGGGTTTTATGGTGTGGTTATAGTGAAGAATTTAGTATCTTGCATTTTATTTCTTAGTCTTGTTCACATCAGTAGCGATATTTAATTGACTTTTGTTCGTAGTCAAGATCAGCTGGTAGAACAATTTTACCTCAATTTTTGATTTCATTATTGTTGTGATGGGTGGGACGTAACCTGTGTTTATTTAAAAGGAATAAAATGAGACAGATGGAAATAGAAATAAGACCTCCTGCCCTTCAGAAAAAGAGATGTTGTATAACCAGTATTATAACTCCATACAATACTTTCCACTCTGCAACTTCGTGGACCTCAGACAAGCCAATCTGCCCTCAGCCGTGTTAGTATAAACCTTCGTCATCTTTACTGAATCATCTTAGATTTGCTGAAATACAATCCTAAACTAGTACGAAGTAGTTATATCTCACTAAATATTCCTGGGAGAGAGATTCTGAAACTTAACTCTGCTCAGTCCTTCCATAGCACTGATGTGTGGTTGGAATTACTCTGGTTCTGAGCAAAGGGCGGGGGGGAAAGAAAGAGAGGGCAGCAGCCAATCCATTGACCATTATTTATTTTTTTATTGTTATTTTTTACAATGCTGAAGTGCTGCAAAACTTGAACTAGATACATCAATTTTCTGACCTATATTAGTTGGCATATTAAAAAGTTTATATATTTATGCATTGCAGTAAACTTGGTGTGTGTGTATATATATATGTCTTTAGATTTTAAATTTATATATAATGCTTTACTACAGAAATGTGAACCACTAGTTCCATCCTTGGCTGTCTTGTGAAATAAATCAAATGCTGTTAGTTTATCTGTAAAAACTCCCTTTTTTGAAAATCTTACATTGTTCAATTTTTTTCTTAGACAAAGTGCCAAGATCCCATATTCAAAAGTGATGAATGTTCCTAAGCATCTATTTCACTTTTGAGCTCGGTTTTCTAAGTGGCTTAGAAAACTTCTGAAAGTGTTTTTTTCAGAATGTTGCAGGCTGCTATCTCTTGAGTTCCTGTAGCTTCCCAGTGCACTTGAGGGCATTCAGCATCCAGAAAACCTAAGTAATAAATACATATAATAAATCCAAATCATATATACTCTAGCAGTGTTTTGCAGTTAAAGTTATTGAACCAAATGTTTACACTTAAAGTAGGATTAACAGTAGGTATTCTTAGGGTTGGTTTGGGTTTTTTTTTTAAACCTAAGTAAAACAAGTCTGCTGGTAACTGGAGTGTGTTGCAAATGCACTCAGCAAGATTTGATCAAGAAGTTTAAGCCTCTTCACCTGAAACAGTGACAAATGTTACATCTTAGCACACGTGTACTCCTGTTGCTTTCCGCATGGTTGGTGGCCAGGGACCAAGTCTCTGCAGACTGTCTCCTGGAGCTCCGGCTGCGTGCTCAGGCTGAAGATTTAAGTGCTCCTGAGATCTCAAAACTGGCTTCCTTGGCCTTGCTTCAGGGGGATGGGGATCGTTCTCCACCTGTATTATCTGTGGGGCCAATCCAGGAGATGTTCTAGCTTTGGGGTGTGTGTCAGAAGGAAGGGATGCATCTTTTGGGGTCTGACTTGTGTGTGTCTGTCTGTCCAGTTCTGATCTGCAAGCCTGGTGATGAGTGCGTCTCTTGGGGTGTGCAATAACCAGGTTCAATTGCCTCCCAGTTCGGAGGAAGGCTTTGAAGCCAAGGCTCTCCTTTCTGCAGGGAGAGCCTGATTGTACACGTGATGGCATATGAGAGAGGGATAACTGACCTCTGACTTCTCTTGGGAAGGAGATGGTTGATGTCAGCAGAGGAGGGAGGCTTTGATACCAGAGGTGCTGAGTGGAGAGTGGTCGCCAGTTTTGCAAGCATCTTGAATGTGCAAACAGCTATAAATTGAATGGGATTTACTGGTACATGCCACCACCTCAGCTGTCTCCGCTTTCCTGGTGGCTGCGTACCCCGCGTATGGTGGCTGCACCACATGGGAAGCAACTCCTGAATTTTCTCAGTTTGCGGTCCAGGGGGTTTAGGTGGTTTGGCAGCTTAGAAACTTGCTGAAGTAGTTCTTGCTTGGCACAATACCCTTAATTCCTTCCAGTTTGTGAATTGGCGCTCGGATTCAGCCAGTTCCCCCACAGGTGACTTTTTTTGAATGATTTTTCTTAGCCAGCTGTCTGTGCAGTCTCCTGGCTTCCAGGGATCAGGTTTTTAGGCACCCTCCTTACTGATTTACCAAACTGGGTGCCTCACTGGGGTTGTGAGTTTGTCACGGCATTGAAATGCCGATGTTTTGAGACCCGCGTCTGTATTGCTGCCGACTTGGTGCCCACCACACCTTGGATCGGGGCAGGGTCCTTGGGTGCAGGTCTCAGTTGGTTGCATCTTGAGCCAAGCTCAGCACAATCCCAAGCGAGGACTGGCTGGGTCACGTTGCAGGCTTAAGTGACTTGGGTTGGCCCTCTGCATCTTTTCCTTCCCCCTGCTGTAGAATTGGGCAAACCCCAGCCATTGTAATCAGAAAATCACCAAATATGGGGTAGGGATTGTGGAAGATGGGAATAATGGTGGCTTTTTTTCTCTCCTCTCACTCCACCTCTTACCACAATTCCCCCCCCCCAAAAAAGGTTTTCTCTTCCTTTTTCCATGTGCCACAGGTTGTTTTTGGAAAAACTCTGGACTTGCTATTTTAAGGGTAAAATAAAAAGTTTGAGTGTACAGCTGGGGAAAAAAAAGAGATAATATCATAAGCACACAACAGTGTCCTCTGTGCTTGTTTTATTTGTGTAGTCTTGTGGCTGCTCTGCACAGCAGAGAGAGCGATTACAGAAGCGAAGGTGTAAAGTGCTGTTGCTCTCATAAAATAAAATCTCTTGGGTTTCTTAGGGAGGAACACACCTGGCCTGGTCTCCGTTCCTTACGTGACCTTGTGGGGTGCTTGTGTTCCTAAAGAGTCAGTGTTGGATCTCAAATTCTCATCCTTTCTGTTTTTGTAACCTGAAAAAGAGGCATCCTGAAGTCTTCTGCAAAGTGTGCCTGTCCTCAAATATTTTATTGCTATTCCTTAAGTTTTAGTTCTAGTGAAAATGCTGATCCTGGTCAAGTGACTTTCTGTAGCTTTGAGAGTACCTCATCTTTAAATTGAAGGCAAATTACTATGAGATAACGCAAAAGGGTAGTGGTGAATCTGAAAACAAAGGCGAATTTACAAAATCGGCTCACTGATAACTGTGGGCAGGCTCTACCCCTTCTGCTCTTGACTGCACAAAACTTGCACATCGCACCGCCCGCCTTCTGGAGCAGAGGTCTTGCTGAAAATAGGAGTTTTTTCGTCAAAGCTACTGAAGCGCCTGGCTTGCTTTATAAACTTCCCTTCCAGAAAACACCAGGCAGCTTAATTTCTTTTTTTGCAATATTTCTTGTGCCTGCATGACTTGGTAAATGCACAAGTACGAAAGTGAGGGGTTTAGGGAGCATTTCTCCCTGTTTTAACTGCGGTTTCTCTGGTTGGTTCCATAAATACTGTGGCCGTACAGCCTGCATGGGTTTTGGTACCACGCATGTGCCATGCAAAGTGCAGGATGCAATAACAAATGCAAGTTGTTACAAGTGCCAAACCTTTGGTTTCCTCTGTATATAACGATAATTCAGCTGTTCTATTAAAATACAGAGATGCTTAAAGTTCACTGTGTTCCAAAAAGGAGCAGTGGTGGGGTTGGTTTTTTTTGGTTAGTTTTTTTTTTTTTTTAATGAATGCTATTTAAAGCACTGTAAATCTTCACTTTTTTTAATACTGTTCCGCAGGTTTGTGCTACTCTTCACAGCTGCCTTGAGCCATCACTCCGTGTGATGCATGTGGACACTTTGCTCTTCATTAGAGCACTAGTGCCGTGCAAGTATATAAGAAATGGCAGCTGACAACAGGTTTCAGTATTGAAAATGATAAATATTTAGATTAAAGTGCAATTCATTTGAATTAATCTCATCTGCAGAAGGAGAGCTGTGTCTCAGGAAGTGTGACTGTACCCAGGGACACGGGCATACTGAAGATTGTAGCCAAGGTATGGTTTGGTGCCGCTCACAGCGATGCTTTCCAGGGAGTTACATTTAATTTGGGGTATGGATCCTTTCTGCCTCGAACGTTAGCATCAAGGTTTGGGGGTTTCTGTTCTCTTACACTTTTTGGAGTACTTGAACAGCTTCTTCAGGTGGGTTGGAGGGGTGTTGGTTATATACATGCTTGTCTTGCAGTTAGAAGCTACTATTCCCATCTTAAGTTGGAATATTTCCTCTTACCGCTAAGGAGCGAGTACAGGCCTGCGTTTGTCGTCGGTGCTGTAGCCTTTTGACATTTGCCATTTTCTGTTGCTCTTCCTTGTTTGTTACTGGAGTTGAGAGCTACGTCAGTAGGGTCTGTGTTTCCATGGCACACTGCTTGTGAAAGAGAAGTAAGGAGATCTGTCTGATCACTTCAGGGTGGTGAGCCAGTAAGAGCTGGCTTGCAGGTATCGCTGCAAAGCCAGTAAGGTGTGGGTGAAGCACTGCTCATTTTCTGTAGGGGTCACATCCGCGTGCTCTGAAGTTTGTTGATAGGTTGGGTACTGCTCTCCAGCTTCCCTGTGGTTTTTGGTTGGTTTTGTTGTTGGTTTGTTTTTTTTTTTCTGGGAAATTCCTTACTGTAGGAAGGATTGCAGCCAGGCTTTAAGGTGACATCTCTGATCAGCCATGCCCTGCGTGACTCTGTAACCTAACTGCTGTTGTGCTCCAGTAATCAATTCTCTCAAATTTTTGGTTAACAGGTAAGCTAAAAGAATAGACTAAAACCATGCAAAGTGCCTAACTAGATAAACACCTGGTAAAAAGGATTAAGGGTAGTAGTAGAATTAAATCATAAACTGCTACCAACAGGTGATTATGTTGTAAATTGTTTCATGATACAAAATCTTAAAGATATTTTTTAAAATGGCTTATTCTAGGTAGCTGCTTATTGGTTATAAAAATAATTAAAATACATAAAGGATTTGTTTAGAGTAATATTTGAAAAAAATCTATTGAAATATCTTAAAAAGTGAGCTGGAAGATTGGAAGTTTCCAATGTGAAAAGCTAAATCTTGTTGCCCAGTGTTTTTCCAGGGTTTCATGTGAGTAATGAACACCTGCCAGAGCGCATCAGTACCTGAGTGTGCTCAATGCCATTGCCTACCTACGCCCTTGAATTTTCATAACGAAATGAGACAGTACTGAGACCTTGTAAAAGCTGATGGATGCGATTACAGTAATAGGATAGAAAGGAGCGTCCCCACTGTAAGTGACATTATTTTATTGATAAAACGTGGAAATGTAATTTTATTTTTTAAATACTAGGTACTTTTGAATCACCACCAATGCCCTTGATTTTTTTTTTTTTTTCTTTGCCTTTCCTCCTTCCTTTCTTTTTGGTTAATGCTAAGACATCCTCTGGTTTTGTCAAGGGCAAGGTTTCTTTCATCTGTAGTTCTAAACCCAGTCAGAGCCTGAAGGACACCAGTGAAGCAGGCTGTGCAGTGGGCTGCTTTTACCAGTATAATTTCTGTGCATTCTGTTAGCACGCTGCCACCTCTACTCATTTCAGAATAGAAAAAAAAAAAAAAAAGTGGAACAATATTGCACCTGATGAAGGCAAGAGCCATTTTGGAAAGTCTAAATTGCCGTGTGCGACAGGCAGCATGCTATAAAAATCTTACCCCTGGCTGCTGTTGAGATTCTCACCTTAATGGTCTCGCATGCTAAAGCTTCGGCTGGGTACTGTCTGTTTTATTAATGTACACACGATAGCAGGAAAGCATCATCGTCCTTGTCGCTTGTTTCGCTATTTTTAGGTCTTAAAAAGCAAAGTCTGCTTAATTATTAGAATAAGTAAAGCAGTACACTGGGGTATCTGGCAAGGTGGTCAAGTTGAACAGAGCTGACGTTCTTTAAAGCTCTTGTTAAAGCTTCTTTCTGAAGGGAAGCCAAGGAGTACCCTCTTAAGAAATACTTTCAAATCCTTTCAGAACTAGCCTTAAACTAGTCCAAAGGACACTTCTGGATTGCTTAGAGAAACCAGGATCTGTTCTAGCTTTTGTTTGCTTGGGGAAACAGCTGCTAAATCAATTTTAAGCATTTCTTTTTTCCTCCCCGAGTTCCAAAACCTAATGACTTGCTTCTTGTAATTGAAACTTTTTTGTATTTAAGGGTCTGAGACTGCATCTTGCAATGTGTGGTGAGTGTTCTATCCTATCTTAGTTTAATTGATGTAAAGAGCAAGCTGTGTTCTGGTGGACTCCTAGAAGGCAGCCTTACAGTGTTAAGGGGGGAGGAAAAGTATCGGTAAAACAAGATTTTCCTTACACTGCACATGGCCCGCTGTGTGTATCTGGTGGGGCAAGAGGCCGTTTTTGGCAAAGCTCATGTAATTGCTACCCCTTGCTGCCCTCGGTGTTCGGGAACACGGCTGGGACGCTGCCCAGCTGCAGACGTGTCGAGTGCCAGAGCGGACTCGAGGCTGCGGCTGGCTGAGACCTGACCCCACAGCCCTGTCAAACCAACAGATGCAGATTCCTGAGCGTACCCCACGCCTAACACTGCTTTCTGGTCTCGGGTGTTTTGTCTTTTGCGCTTATTAACAGGATTTTGCTTTCACTCTTGCCCCAGATGCACTTGTGAATGCATGGCTTTTGCCAGTGATCACCAGGAAGAGCTCCCGTGGGCTGGAGGACGTCCACACGTCCACACAAACTTGATCTCTCTGTGCACTGGCTTTTTGCACATCCGTGCATCCTGGTACTCCGCTCGTCGTATGTGGGGAGAGTGCTTAATACATGATGAAATGACTCTTCATCAAGCTTGTAAACCTAATGCCAGCAGGTTAGAGATCACCTGAACATCTGTAAGCAGTCCTGTAGGTAGAACACATGTAGCCCACTCCGTGTACGCGTGTTGCTTGTGGCGGGAAGCCTGCCACCTCATCCGTGGGGAAAAGCCCCTATTCCCAGCTACCTCATTTTTTTTTTTTTCCTTTGCACTTTGTCAAATCTGTTTTGTTTTGTTTTAAATTGCATTTTGTCCTTCAATAAAAAACTAAAAGCAGACAAGAAGCAGGGCAGAATGATGCTGTTGTCCAAGGACAGTTTACTTCGATTTCATTTTAAATGCATGTTTCTGTACAAAAAGACCAAGGTTGACCTGCAGCTGCTGTAAAAAGTAAATAAAAATGTATATTACTTGAAAGGAACTATTATACTTGCAAATGAGAGAAGCAATTCAAAGACTGTCCTGACAATTTTTAAAGAGGAAAAAATCTATTTAAAAAAATAGAAGTCTCTGCTGTTTTAAGGACAGATCAGATAGTTTTCTCTCTGCCTCCACTCTGCACTGTTTCGCCTGTGAACTTGATCCATTAGCTCAGTAGAGAGATTCACTGGTTTTTCTGTAATATCTAGTCTGGATTTTTTTTTTTTCCCCCATGGAATTTTTCCACTTACTCACCTACAGAGGAAAAACTGTCCAAATGAATTCCCACCTTCCGTACCTGAGATCATGTATTTGCCCATTTCTATGGGATCTTCAAGTATGTGGGGTTTTGCTTAGCTTGAAGAATTTTAAAAAAAGAAAAAAAAAAAAAGTGTGTTCTTTGGCTTCTAAAGGTGCTATTTTGACACTTTTGAATTCCTTACACTGTGCTTGACTACTTAAAGTACAAACCTAAGCAGCTGATAATCAGCTTGTGTTTGTTCTCTGGGTGGTTTTTTTGAGTATTCAGTCTTTTTTTTTTTTTGAAAAGCGTCCTTTTCATAAAGACAGCTTCTGAACTGTCAAAGGCCTTAATAACACAAACTGTAATGGGAAAATCCTGCCTTTTTTCTTTCTTTGTAAAGGCAAAACCAATAAATGCTTCATGGGGAACATTCTCCTTTAAAATTTTAAGTAGCAGCTCATACTAATTTTGAATTAAATGTAGCAAAACTTTTACTGGCCATGCACAAATAGTAGGGATAAACCAAGGAGTTATTCGTGTCTCTGCAGACCGCACCAGTTGGCTGCTAATTCCAGAGCCTGCTGTTGGCATCATGGTGGCTATTCCGCAAATATTCATCATCTTGGGCTCGGTCCCAGGACCTGGCTGTGTTGTTCCTTGTGTGCCTGCGACAGTGCTGACCCGCGTGGCTGTCGGAGCATCTGGATGTTGGGCCAGGCGTGGGCTTTGCCTCGGACCTCATCTGTTCAGCCCTTGTTTCAGAGGCACGCGCAGGGCTGGCAAGGTCTGCTCACCCAGAGGGTTTAGCCGCCCGGGTGCTCAGGAGGTAGAAGGAGGGAAGGTACCGATTGCTGCCATCGCCCCAGTGACGCCAGCTCGGTAGCTCTGATGTGAAGGCTCTTGGAGGTGCAAGCCATGGAGTAGAATTTTAGTCCTGTGTAGGAACTTTGTTGTCCTTATTGTGCCGTCTTTATTTTTGTTTAATCCATATCATCAGTTGGGTTTAGGGATTTGGTAATTTAACATTGATAAAAGTTTTTTCATTCTGTGGAGGACAAAAAAAAAATAATATCACATTCCTGCCCTGTCTGAAGCAGCAGGAAGGATTGGGGGTTGGTGGTTGAACTCATTCCATCTCCAGACATCAGGTTATGGCCTTTTTGTAGGCTTCACAGTCCCAGCGGTGTAGCATTTCTCAGTCTTGTTAATCCAAGAGCCCTTTGGCCTTTTGGAAAGAGTCCAGAGACTGCCTTGTCGTTCTCCTACTTCACATGTTGGGTGCTGCCCCCTGGACCATCCTAACTTGTCCAGACCATTGTTGTCCAGGAACCATGGGCTGGTGGCCTTCGTGAGGAGTATCCGTGTCACCTGCAGCACTGTCTGAAGAGCAGCCAATAAATGAGGGACCACAGAGAACCCTACTGAGCTTGCAAATCCTTGATCTTCTTGTTTTAGGGAAGGCTGAAGAGCAACGTTTACCACTGCCAGGCTCGTGCACAGTTTGAGCCTTGCGGCTGTGCCCTGGCAGCGTGGGTAAGGTTGAGTCCACCCTGTCCCTTACATAAGGGTAAGACATAAGGGTTTATGGGCTGAGTGTTATAGGAGATCGAATATTTTGCATTTGTTGTATTTAAATCTGAAAATATTGGAGGCTCTGGAGCTATTTCTGCAGGGTGGAACAGCAAATATTGGCCTAAACAGTGGAGGTCCTGGCCACCTGGTTTTCCCCTTGTCCTTATTGTGCCGTCTTTATTTTTGTTTAATCCATATCATCAGTTGGGTTTAGGGATTTGGTAATTTAACATTGATAAAAGTTTTTTCATTCTGTGGAGGACAAAAAAAAAATAATATCACATTCCTGCCCTGTCTGAAGCAGCAGGAAGGATTGGGGGTTGGTGGTTGAACTCATTCCATCTCCAGACATCAGGTTATGGCCTTTTTGTAGGCTTCACAGTCCCAGCGGTGTAGCATTTCTCAGTCTTGTTAATCCAAGAGCCCTTTGGCCTTTTGGAAAGAGTCCAGAGACTGCCTTGTCGTTCTCCTACTTCACATGTTGGGTGCTGCCCCCTGGACCATCCTAACTTGTCCAGACCATTGTTGTCCAGGAACCATGGGCTGGTGGCCTTCGTGAGGAGTATCCGTGTCACCTGCAGCACTGTCTGAAGAGCAGCCAATAAATGAGGGACCACAGAGAACCCTACTGAGCTTGCAAATCCTTGATCTTCTTGTTTTAGGGAAGGCTGAAGAGCAACGTTTACCACTGCCAGGCTCGTGCACAGTTTGAGCCTTGCGGCTGTGCCCTGGCAGCGTGGGTAAGGTTGAGTCCACCCTGTCCCTTACATAAGGGTAAGACATAAGGGTTTATGGGCTGAGTGTTATAGGAGATCGAATATTTTGCATTTGTTGTATTTAAATCTGAAAATATTGGAGGCTCTGGAGCTATTTCTGCAGGGTGGAACAGCAAATATTGGCCTAAACAGTGGAGGTCCTGGCCACCTGGTTTTCCCCTGCACTTTTTTTTTGAGAAAGTAGAAGTGTATAACTGCTTCCCGGTTTGCATGATTACTGTTTCATAATCTGAAGTGGGAGCCTGACAAACTGAGTTTGTTTTAATTTTGCCTTCAAAAGGAAAAAAGCAAAATTTCCTCACGTTAGAGTCTTCTACCTTCAGAGTTTTTCCCTCTGTAAACCGTGTTTATTGAGTACCATGAATCTTGTGGGATTGGGCTACAGAACTGAAACACATATTATGCAAATGCTGACTGATATACTTAGTCTGACTTTGTACTGTACGAATACCCTATTTTAGCATAAGAGCATGAAATAGCAACTACATTGATTAATACAATTATGATATCCGATTCCACGAGCCAAGTAATAGGAGGGCATTGGAACATAATGCCACATGGCTGCTGCTCTCCTAAAGGGTCAGCGTTCTGTCAAATCTAAGATCTTGGTAGTTACCAGGATATTGTCAGAATACATTGCCGCTTTTTCTACAAAAAATATGTCAGTGTGGTGTGGTAGAAACACTCACCTGGTCTTGTTTACTATCGCTGGCATGCAGCTTGACAGCAAGGTTTATTCTCATCATCCAGCTGTCATGCGTTGACTTCTGTATTACAGATGTGTTTACTGTTACAGGCTTTTTATGTGCGTACGTTTTCTGCAGGTCTTTGTGTGGTAATGGAGTGTTTGCTTTTATTTGTTTATGTGCCCACCCCAAAATTTTCCTGTGTTGCTTGGGGCCCGGCTTTAAAGTGCTCTGACCTGAGGATGTTGAGTTACTTCTGTGAAAACCAGGGAAAAATAAGACACAAATGCTCTTTGGCCTCAATCAAACTATGCAATATAGCGCACCAGAGAGCTGAATTCCTTGCAATACAGAAGCTCTTGTGTCCTTCCAAATCCAGTCCTTGGTCCAAGGTTAGGAGAACTTGTACTCAGTGGCTGCCCAAGAATCTTGCATCCAAATCAACTCTTGTTCGCTGGTTTTCCTCCTTCCCCCCACCTCGTCTGTCAGTTTATTAGGTGCTTTGAGTCTGAATGATGTGCTGTCTATGTGTATCCCTCCTGTCAGTCTCGTATCGGTGTTGGTTGGAGCTTGTCTTGTAAACCCACCAGCGTGGCTTACCACCTGGAGTAAGTCGGGGGGCACTTCACGTTTGCATCTCTCTGCTCTAGAGCATGTCAGGCGTTTTGGGTTTGCTGCACCCCTCCAGGTAGCTGTAGGTCTTGCTTTTACGTTCCTGTGTTGTTCAGTTGTGGGTCTGGTGCTTATGGTAAAGAATACCTGTGACGTCTCAAATCCAGTCCAAGTAAATTTTCATTTCTACCGCTTGTGCATGTCTATGAGTGTGATTTTGCTGCTTCCATGGCAATTCAGGGATAAACGCCCACGTGGTCAGGACTGCTGGTAAAGGTTCTTTGTTCTCCCATTGCTTCGTTTTTCCAGTGAAGTTTGTTCCTTGTGTTCCTCTTCTTCCCCCTGTTAAATACCAATAAAAGCAGTATGCCGTCTTCCCCGGTCCTACATCCCGTGAGTAGCTCTTCTCTACCAGTTACCATGATCGTGTCTTCTCCCCTTCACATGCTTGCTTCTGAGGAGTTTGCCTTCGTTTGTCACTCACTTAACCCACCTTGTACCTCACCCCGCTTCTCCCTCCCCACTCCATTTACTATTTTGTCTTTCTTTAGTTCAGGTTAACCTTGATTTATTTCTCTGATTTCAAAAAGGGATTTCGGTGCATAACACAGGAGACCACAGAAAATCTCTCTGCGGGTGCCTGTGTATGTTCATGTCCCCCAGCACATTCAGTGTAAGGGGTTTAGCCTACTCCATTCCTAACCCCAGGTTTTTCCTAGTGCTAGGCAGAACAAAGTCTGAAGGCGTTTCTTATTTCCTTTGGTAATTGAAAATATCTGGAGATTTTCTTCTTCGGGAGTAGCCGCTGCGGGTGAGCAGCTGGCATGTGAGAGGGTTGTTATGCTTCCCTAGTCAGTATTTTTAATTGAGGAACAAATAATTTATTTTGGGGAAAAATGTAAATTTTTTTGTATTTGTATGTCGAAGTGGCCTTTATAGGAAAAGCACATAAAATATTTAGATTAAAATTGCTTAGTTGTGTAACTTTAGTGGGGATTTTTTGTATCGACAGGGTTTCTATGCATTTTTCAAAATATACTTGCTGTTTTGTGTTAGAGTTATTGGAAATATTTTTAAAAACGTCTATTAACACGTTTTCCATGTTTGATCCCTTTACTATCATTCCTTCAGAATACTACAAAGATTTTAATTAACCCTGTAAATTAATTTTCCCCCCACAAATATTTGCATTAAGTCAATAGAATGAGTTATAGCATGGGTATGTAGCTTTAAGGGAATAAGCCTAGTAGCGTAGCTTAACTACGGAGAGATCCTTTCGGAGAAGGGCAGTACGCAGTGTTTCGATGGCACTTAAAAGACTAAATTAGCAAATTAAGTTTTTGCTGTAACTCTCTGGGATTTTTTTTAAACTGTTTCCATCCTGTATTAGTTTACACTCGAGCATTATTTAACTAGGTACTAGTTGTGCACTATGCGGTTCTCCTTCATTCTGTCGGGATAATTCTAATGTTAACAGAGATGAAAAGTTGTGGGAAGTGTGTGGTACCCTGATGGATGTGACTTGAGTTTGGGGCAGGGAGGAGAGGAAAGTTGCATCCATTAGTGTTTTGTTTAATTATGTACAAATTTTCACATTAGCTGAGACTAAAGTAACTGAACTTACAATTGAATTGTAAAATCAATGGTTTGGGGGTGGGGGGAAAAAAAGAAGGGGGTTGCAGAGCTGCAGGCAAAAATACCCTGTAGTTGCACTGCAGTGCAGTTGCCTCGACTGCCTACTACGCAAAGCATAACCCGAGCTTGAGACGTTGGACCCTTCTGGTACTGCTCCGATTTTACTTTCTCTTCTTGAGGTGTTACTGTAAGGCTTGCTAAGTAGAACCTTCCCGGGAATGTTTGTCAACTGACACTTCAGTTTTATCATTTTATGTTTGCATTTTAATTTTTGTTCTTGTTTCTGTTTCGTAAGAGATCCCCCATCGTTCATAGGCTGGTGTAAGCGCAAGCTTTTAGGCGTAGTAACAAACCAACATTGCATGCTATCATCTGTTCTCATAATTGAAGAAAAATGTGCAATTTTAATGGCACTTTGACCTATTGCTGAAACACTGGGTTTTGCAATGGAACAAACTCAACAATTGAAAACACTCTGTGTCTACATTAGATGTCTTGAAAATGAAGAAAAAGGCAGTTACTCCAATTGTACCCACAGATAATTTGGTATTGATTTTTTTTTTATTTTTTTTTTTAAAAAAAAATAAGGCTTTTATGATCTGTTATTAGAAGAATACACATTTCTTGGTTTACTTTAGTTGCCATAAATTGCCCAGTGCAGAGTCTGGTCCACCTCCATCCATTTATTTTCATGGAGTAGTCGCACACAAAATGGTAACAGCGAAGCAGGAAAGCTGTTTGGTTGCTTACCGGTAACCTCCCTTGCGGAATTGCTTTGTGGCTCGCGCGCGATACGAAAAGGGACAGGAGGATTTTCCTGGATTAAGTAGCGCTCACTTCGTTTACGTGTTCGGTATAATGTTGGGTGACTAAAGGGAGGTTCCCTTTTTAAAGTATTTGATTGTGCTTTGGGGACTTAGTTGCCACTGTGCAAATTGTGCTGTAATATTGTACCAAGGATCAGTGAAAGTGTTTTATCTTTTTTAATGTTGTTTGTATTTGACCGGGTTTTATAAATGTAAGAAAACAGAGTGTTGTATTTTGATCTGAAATTTGCGTATGGTAAAAGTAACTTTGCTTTATGTATTGGAGGTTTGTTGAGAACTTGAATTATTTTATAGAAGGGTACAGACCAAAATTAATTGTCTTAAAGGTGTTTAATAAACTAACCAAATAAAACATCGATGGTTTGAAAACTTGTCAACTGCTCCTTATGCTTTTTCTTTCTATTTTTAAAAGAAAGGAAGAACGTAGTTCAAGCTTTTCTCTCAAGGTCTTAAAAAAGAAAAAAAAATAGTAGATTTTATAAATATCATCTCCCATGAGTTATCTGTTTTATTATTAAACGTTCCTACATGCCAGAAGTTTAATCAAAGGGGAAAACCCAAAGGAAATAAATGGAGGAAGAAAGGCTAAGGAAGTAAGGGGAGGTGGGAGCAGTCCCTCCCCGGCTCTCTCCAGGCAGTAAATGCTTACGGCTGCTGGGCCCAGTGTGTTGGTGGTGGCCTCTCTGGGAGAAATGGGAGTGGGAAGGAGCTTCTGCTCACCTGTAAAAGCTCCCTCAAGTGTTTGACGGGCTCCCTTCTCCCCTGCAGTCACCGTCACGCGTGGTTTTCACAAATACTGCTGCTTTCATGTGACCTTTAAAAGCAGAGGAGAAAAATGTGAAGCATAGCTGCTCCCAAGGGCGGGTACAAACAGCTCATTCCAGGGCTGCCAGATATTTGGCGACCCTCGGTTGCGCCATGGCGTGCGTACGTAACCTCTTCAAGTTCAGAGATCTGGACTTCTTTAAGATGCCAAGCAGCTGTGACTCAATTTTAAACAATACGCTTCCTTCGTGCTGCGCTTCTCCCTTTACTGACGTCCCGGTGATTGCTTCTGCTAGCGCTGCCTCCGCCGAGGGAGAAGAGCCGGAGCAAGGGTTTTTGGCTGTTAGGAGGAGGGATACAGTCGTCTGTGATTGTAGGTGGGAGCGCGACGACAGCGATGAACTCGGCCACTGCAGTAGTCCTACGCTCTTTGATCTTCAGGAAAACACATGATTTCACGCAGAGCCCTGTCTACCTTTTCTTAAATAGAAGGACTTTGAGATGAGGCCAAACGTGAGGTAGGAGTCAAGGAAAAGCTGAGGTTTGGGGTAGCTTGGGCAAGGGGAGTGAAGGGGGGAAGGCAGGGCCACAGCTTCAAAGCAGAGGGCAAAACTGGGTGCTGTAAACACGTGTTCTGAAAGAGACGGTGGGTCTTGGGACAGAAAGGTGGATAATGGCTCAATAAAAACCTTTTCTTGTTCAGTTCGACAGCCATACCCAGTGAAGCACAGGCCCTGAACCGCCAGCCAGTTTGGTGCAGAGCGCCCGAGGCCTCCAGTGTAAACACGGGCTGACGATAGGGAATCTCGTGTTGATTTACCCTTGTTGCTGGTGTTCCCATGGTTATGGCTGCGTAGATGGGCTCTGCCCTATCTCCCCTGTCTTACTGAGTCTGGGAAACAAAGACAGGAGGGTGAACTTGGATTTATCTTTATTCCACAGCCTGGAATCCTAACAGAAAGGGAAGAGGGCTGCCTCCTGGTTTCCTTTACCTTTTATGCACAGAGGAGATATAACGTGAAGTTTCCATTTCTTCCTCTTTTTATCCCCTCAGTTTTTTTTCTAAAATATCGCAGAAGAAATCCAGAAATGGTTCCCTAAACAGGATTTTCAGCCAAGGCGCTCGATGCCTGGGAAGCAAGGCCTCCCTGTGCCTCCTTAATTGCAAGGTACTTGCCAAGAAGGCTCTGTACCGAGTTTACGCAGCAGGACTTGAGACACTCACAATGTTTGCACCACGGAGAATCGCAGATGTCCATGAGCTTCTACCCCAGCCTCAGAGAAGAGTGTCCCACCAGCTTTTTC